TTGAGCCCAGCCAGCCCACATGGCACAGCAGACCTCTCCTGTCTTCCCTGCTGCTTTCTCCAGCAGTGGACTTGGGTCAATCCTCCTGTTCTGTTCTCTACTCTTCTCTCTGGTGAATCCTCTCACTCTCTGCATCTCTGGCCTGTCCCCCTGTTTTTGTATGCATAATAAATAAATATATCTTAAAAAAAAAAAAAAAGTAACACCAGGCCCTCCCTGGTGACACAGCAGGTCAAAGCACAGCACTAAGAAGCTAAAGCCACTTCAGCATGCGTTTGATCCTCGCCCCACAGGTGACCCACATGGCCCGGCAGATCTCTCTTGACACAACCACTGCTCCCCTCAGCAGTGTACTTTGCCAATCTGCCTGCTCTGCTCCCCACTTTGCTCTCACGGCCCCTGCACCTCTGGCCTGTTCCCAGTTCTGTATGCAGAAATAAATAAACCTTAAAAAAAAAACAACAGTTTTTGGGTCACAAAGCTGTCTCTGTCACTTAATATCATGAAGTTGTTTTAGGGTTTAACTGAGATTAGGCATGTAGTAGCTTTAGTACATTATAAGTGATCAGCAATATTTGAATACTTAATATTATCACAAGTATGTATACTGAAAGTATGAACAAAGGTGTACTTGTATGGAGGTTCCAGTAAGAGAACCCAGCTACAATAAAAAAAAAAAAGAAGGCCCTTAACGTTTTGATTATATAAAATTATGATCTTTAAGTGATCTGGCAGTATCAGGAAGTATAAACACTAGAAGGTGAATGAAGGTGGAAAGGGTTGCCAGGTATTCATATCAGTTTAACTAGTAGAATGTGAAAGATTATAATTTAGATAGCTGTAATGTCTAAGAAGAGTAGGAATAAAGAACTAGAACACTCTTGGGTTTGGGAACAGGCTAGAGTTATGTGGGCAAAAATTCTGATCAATTTTCTGTTCCATATTCTTTTTCTCTTTTCTTTCTTACTTTTTAGATACAGGCTTCATCAAAGTTCTTTCAGTGCAGCATATTTTCTTGTCCGTTATTTTTCTCCTCTGTCACCACTTAAAAAATTAGAAGATTTCTGAGAACAGAAATCATGTTTGTCTCACACATTTTTATATCTTAGCATCCAGCAATGTCTAGCACAAAATTGCAGGCAAGAAGTATGTGTTGAATGAATTTAATATATATTGGCAGTTTTTTCAAGTCTGGGTTAAAGGTTTTAGATAACAGAAGACAGTAAGCTTTTAATTTTGCTTTTGCCACAGTAGTGGAATTCTAGGACTTCTAAGACATAACTTTGAAAACCTGGTTTTCCCCCTTGTGTTAAGTGGGTACAATACTTTGTTTAGAGGTATAATAGACAATTAAATAAGAACTTTTTGTAGTTTTCCTAGCACATAGAAGGCATTAAAACAACAAAAACAATTGCTCCTACTCCCTAAACCCCACACCTTATTTTTTTTTAAAGATTTATTTATTTATGCATACAGTACTGGGGTACAAGCCAGAGATGCAGGAGTGGTGAGAGGCTTCACTAGAGACAGAGTGGGGAGCAGGACAGGCAGATCAATATAGTACACTGCTGAGGGGAGCAGTGGGCAGGTTAGGAGTGGTCTGCCAAGCCATGTGGGTCACCTCCGGGGCTGGGGATCTCCAGAGCTGGGGATCAAACTAGCACTGAAATGGCTAGGCTCGCTTGCAGTGCTGTGTCCTAACTCATTGTACCACCAGGGAGGGGTCCCCTAGGTCTTCTCCCCCCAGGGCCTGGCCTGCCCCCACACCTTTTATACAACATACTTTCAAATATGGGAACCTAGGAAATAATACATGCTATTTAAGTTTTCCTTTCTGTATTCAGCACCTAGTACAGTGTCTCACACATGGTAGATGTTCAATACATATTTTTTGTTAAAGTGAGTGAAGTAATGAAGTACTGAAATAAAGATGAAAATTTAGATAATTATGGGTTGGACATACTGTGTGAAAAAGGGGGGCAACGGATTTTATCAAAAGAGAGGATTGATGTTATAAAATTGATTAACTTCAAAGTGTTATTATTTATTCAGTTAGCTATTTATTATGTCTACTATACTAGAAAGGATATATCTCTGCTCCCCATGCTTGTGCAATAAGGCAATTTTTCAAAAGTAATTAGATAGCAGAAGGATATATCAGAAACCATATAAGTAACAAAAGAAAGTCACTGATGGGCTAG